GTTTTTGTAAAACACTTTATAAATAAGATCAAAGTAATATATCATAATATAAATTTATTTTGGGGTCAAGATTTGGATAATTATTCCTTATTAAATTCAACCATTAATATCCAATAGATGACTTTAAAATCTTAAATTTAAGTTTTTTTCAATTCAGATTTGACACGTTTATATCCTCATGAGGCGACCCACTGACGTTAGCTTCGCAAGTGAGATTCAAGTGATCAACCTTAAAATCATATTAATGGGTGTATGAATATTTTGTACTATAACATGACCTAATTTATCATTATTTTGTATTTTGTAGTCTTTTGTTAAAAAAAACCCTTAAAATCATCTCTTAATTGGAAAATAATACTTTCCTTATAAAATTATAATAATATATAAATAAATAAATAAAAGTTACGAAGGTAAAGTCACCAAAGATAAATTATCTTTTTTTTGAAGAAAATACAACTTTAATTAAGATTTTTCCTCTTTTTTTTTTTTTTTAAGCCAGCGCAATAAGATTTTTCTAAAGCATCAAGAAAATTGGACTCAAATATAGTATAAAAAGAGATGTAATTATTACTACTACTATTATCTGTATAAAAAAATACTATTACAACTATTATTATTATTTACCGCGTCATAATTCTTGATCTGTAGATCATCTTGGCGAAAGGAAAAAAATCTGTTACTCATCACAGTGGTAGCAAACCCTAGGCTCCCCACAGCTAAGTCTGTTTATTTAACTCAGGTCACCCTCCGTCTTGGTCGTTTTTTATATTGGATGCTTTTGACCCTACAGAATAATAAGCTAGAGGCCTTTAATATGTCCTTCTCTAATGTCTCTTATGATGTCCTAACGTCCCAATTACGTTTTTAATTTTTTTTATATTATTGACTTCTACATAAAATGAGAGATATTTGGATATCTTGATGTCCCAAAATGGTGAAGATTTGTATTTTTTATCATTTTTCAAATATAAAAGGGTGTATTTGTGATATTTTTCTTTAAAAAATCATAAAAAATATAAATCTTCATCATTTTGGGACATCAAGATATCTAAATGTTTCTTATTTTATATAAAAGCTAATGATCCAAAGAAAAATAAAAAATGAAATTGGAACGTTAGGGCATTATAAAGGGTATTAAAAAAGGACACATTGGAGGCCCCTGACCCGAGAATAATATTTCTGATTAGTGATACTTGAACCGACATATAATATACTTTTTTAGACTTAACATACAAGACAGGACCATGTCAAGGTCCTTTCTTTGACTTCAATGTTGGAGTAGTTTTTGCAAACTCGCTGTTGGAAGCACGTATTGCTTCATGAGGTTGTGCAAACATCTGTTTAGCTTAAGCAGATGAATCTAGGAACGATTTTGGTCAGTTTGTGTTTGCTATTGTTTTTTGATAGAACGTAACAATATGTATGCTTCTTAACACCATATTATTGTCTCCTTATAAGATGAAAACCCCTCCACATGTCATTATTCTATTGGAAACCCTGTTACCAAATATCTAAGAACCTGCACCTAAGTTCTACCCCTTAATTTTTTTTCTATTTCTCTGTTGTTGATCAATTAACCATTTTCGCAGTGTGGTGCTTACGTGGAACTACTCGTGACAGACCCAAAAAATGTTTTACCGATCGATAGAATGATAGATGCATGTCTTGTTTCTTATTTCTCTTTGAATCAATGAGCAATTGTTGAATGTGTCTTTTCAAATGGGAAGAAATATCGGATAGGATTTTTTCGATGGTCATAAGCATGTTGGTCTTTTGTGATTCTTTAATATTTCTTGTGTTAAAGCCCTATAACAAATGATTTCTTGTTCATCAGACAACGTTGATTTGGGCACAGCTTGCCGCAAATATTTCCGGGTTTGCTGTCTCAGCATTGTCGATCCTGGTATCTATTACATTCTTCAAGGAAACATCTTCAGATTTGTAAGGCAATTTTTGGCTTGTCTTTTCCTAATTGTTTGATCATTTGATGTTTTCAGGTGATTCTGATATTATCAAGACAATGCCTGGTGAACAGTGAATACTAGAGTAGCATTAAGTCCCCCTTTTTTTTTTCTAATGCTGTCTTAAAGAGAGGAATCAAGACATTGATTTCTTGATGTAGTGGCTCATGTTGCAGATTGTTTTAGTTGATTGAGCCTTCAAGATTTTGGAAAACAATAGAATATGTTGACTTTTCCCATTGCCCAATATTCATGACTAGATTTTGTGTGATTGTTAGATTCTTTTTTATCACGTTGTTTTAACCAGAGTTTACAGACATGGTTGCCTGATGAGCAAGAAATGAAGATAATTTGTTCCTTGTTTATCTGGTGCATTGCTGATGAAAGTGAAAACTACGTTAATGATTTTTTTTTATTTTTGTTTATTAAATTGAAGTTTGTACAATTTTGATGCTGGTTGTTATTTAAATTTAATTGAATAAAGGTTTTGAAGTGAAGAAGTTTGGCTGCCTACTGCACCATGCAGATACATTGAAAGAGAAAGTATCTAACACGATGGGAGAATAACAAAACGATTTACGCGCAATATAAGGTTATGTTAGTCGAACTAAATCGAAGTTCAATATATTTAAGGCTGTTTATAGAGTGGAATGTGAGGAGGATTAGTTGAGGCCAAAAAAAAAAAAGGAGGAAAGATTAAAATAATTTTGCTATAATATTATTTATATATTAAAAAAAATAGAGTGTTTGATAGTTCAAGATAGTTTGAAAGGCTATCTCAAATCATTTCACTCCATTTTTTTTTAAAGAAGATTTTTCAAGTAATTTTATAAAGCTTCTAGCGATTCAATTCTATTCTTTTCAACCCAAAATAAATAAATAAAAAATTACCTAAATGCTTTTTTTTCTATTTTTTAATCAATATTTAAAAATCGTGTAATGATACTCTTATCATTAATAAAAATTAATTTAATTTTGACTATTAGTGAATTAAAAAATTAAAAAAATATCTTAAAATTATAGAAAAATCCCCAGAAAATAATAATACCTTATTAAAATATTATTGCTTAAGTCTTCTAAAATACAAATAAATATTAAAAAATATTTTTTACTCATGTGAAAATCCAAAACATCATTTTGGCCAGCAACTTGGTGATTATTGGATCATCATTATTGGCAGCAAGATTGGTATGTAATTTAAAATAATATATTGTTTTAAACATATCTTCTTAATATATTAATAGTTTAATATTTAATGGTTTAAATATTATTATTTATTATAAATCCTTCTAAAAATTTTATAAACTACCATCTAAAAATTAGCAACTTAATTAGTGTATTCAAGATTTATATATGAATATATTTTTCACACTAATTGAGTTCTAAATTAAAGTAGCGTGATCAATCATAAATTTTTATTGTTGGCAAAAAAAAATTATAAATTTTCATCTAAAATTTGCAAGTACTCTTTCAAAAAATTTACCCTAATATAAAAAATGCATTCACTTATACATCATATATACACATTAGTTAAGTTGTAATTTTTGAAAAATTTATATATCTTAAAAGTTGACTTATAAATTGTATGAAGATTTGTAAATAATATAATATTTAAATTATTATATAGAAATATTAATATTTAAAAGGTAAATGAGGAAATTACCCTCTAAATTTTAGGTCAAGTAGCACTATAAATTTTAAACTTATTTATTATATAAATTATTCTTTCAACTTTAAAAAACAGTGCAATCTAGCTTTTATTGTTAATGAAAGTTAACTTTAATTAATCATTAATTGACCAAAAAATGATATAAAATGATCTCAAAAATTATAATAAAAGATTCAAAAATTAGAAACAAGGACCCAAAATAGTATAGAGACGGATAAGAAATTTTTTTATTTTTGAAATCCCTTCTTGTCATTTTTTAATCAATTAATAGTCAAAATTAACTTTTATTAACAATAATAGATAGATTGCATCATTTTTAAAAGTTAAGAGAATAATTTGTACGGTAAATAAAATTATGGCCTACAGTGCTACTAAATTTAAAGTTCAAAAGTAATTTGTTTATTTATCCATATTTAAATAAGATATTATTAAAACAAATATAACATTCTTTTAGTTATTTACGGATGTTGTTGACCATAATAATGATCTGATAACCACCCAATAGTTAGTCAAAAGTGGTTGGATAAAATTGTATTTTAGTCTTTTATATAGGTAAGGAATAACATTAATCTCTTGCAATTTAATAAACTTAATTAATATTAATTTTTTTTGTATGGTGCTTATTGTATAATTTTGGAGGCATTTTCTCTAATTGTTTATATTAATTGTTTGTAAAAGTTAACTTTGTTAACTATAATGATCACATTGTATTGTTTTTAAATATTAAAAAAGAATACTATATAAAAAAAAGAACTTGACTTGGGTATTTCAGTTTTCTATACTTAATATAATTATATCTAATTAAATTAAAACAAATGAATTTTAATATATTAATAATATTAATAATAATAGTTTGTTGTAGAATAAATAATATATAAATAATCTAAATATCTTGATTTAATTGAAAATAAACACTTTAAATATAAAATCACATAATTTTTTAATAATTAATGTTAATATAATTAATATAAAACTCTACCAAATCACTGTATTTAAAATATAAAATAAAAATACTAAGTATTTTTACTATTTATTCCCTCCAATCCTCCATTTCTTTTTACATGATGAAATTATCTAATTCTCACCTACCAATTAAACTAGCTTAACTAATTCATGTCTTAAACTTACACCCATTTTGCCAAAAAAAAAAACATAGATTTTTTTAAAAATATTAAATACTTCTCAATTTTAATTCATCTGATTAATGGAAACAAACTATTCTTAAAAAAAATCAAAATTTTGTCCTATAAATTAAACAAAAAAGGTAAGAGAATTAGATATATTTTTTATTTTTCATAATAAAAAATAATAATACTGTTACTATTTAGCAGTATTTATCCTTTCTCCCTCTTCAAGCCCAACGTCATCAACCTTCGCTTTGAACGGAGCGCCGAGCAATACACAAAGCCCCCAACACCTCACTCGTTTTCAAGATATTTTCTCAATTTCTGAATTCAGAGCATACTTCACTACCCTCTTAGCTTCAAGAGAGCCTTATAGAGCTTGCCGATAGGGAAAATCGTTGCTTCATTGTTCATTGCCGATAGAGCTTGCCGTCACCTGCCGTCCATTTCTCGCCGTCGCCGTTTTCCTTCAGGTTTCGTCGCCGCCCCCATCTGTTCTGTTTTTCTCCTCTACTGTTGCTGCTCTCATTCTTGCATTATCATTGTTCGCTATGCAATTTCTCTGGTTATAGTTGAATAATGGTAGTGCTGCTGAACAGTTGTTTGTGGCTGGAAGAAAATTTTTTCTGTTCTTGCGTGGTGTTCGACTGGTATTATATATAAGGAAAGAATTTGATTTTCTCATGCAATGGGTTTAGTTCATATAAGTTCATATAAGGAAAGCTTGGTCCACATTGATTCTTTAAATTCTAATTCACAGCATTTATATTATAAATTACTAGTTCTGTCCAAACACCCAAAAAAAAAAAAGAAAAAAATATTTTTGTTTTTCCAGATTTCATGAGAGAAAATAAATATCATTTGTAGAAATGCTATGAATCTGATTTGTGTATATCTTGTTGCAAAGCATCTGAGATTACTTGAAAAAATTATAGCTATGTAGATCTCTGCAATATGAAAATGTGATTCTACGGTTCTTCTTTCTAAGTCCAAGTCCTATGTAATGTGTATGTGATTGTTTTAATAAAAAGTAGAAGAATCTCACATGAAATCTGTGCTTCAATGGATCATTACTTGCTTTTCTATAATGACAGTGCATCACACACCCTCTTTTTCCTCTGCTTTTCTGACATTTTTTGTGATTTCACATCTGATTCCTGGAGATAAAAGTTAATTGTCCATGAATTATTATTTTCCCTCTCTCCCCTCTTGAACTAGATAAGGTAATATTAAAATCCCTCCCCTCCATTAAAATCTTCTAAATTTGAGATTTGGATTGTTGCTAAATTGTGTCTGCTTTTCTAAGTCCAAGTCCTATTGGGTCTTTGATGCTTGCTTTTGGTTTGTTGAAAGTACCTACAGTAAGTAAGTAGGTCCCTGAAACAATAACCTTGTTAACTTTTGTCCTTAGTCAAGTTGGTGCAGGAGTTACAAACTTTGAGGATTAATCTTGTAGAGTTATAAATTCAACGAATAAAATGATAGGAGTTATATTTTTCAGAGGCCAAATTGTGTATTTACTCAATGTCAAAGTTCTTCCCTTTGAATAATGCATGGCTTCATGTTATTATATGTTCATACATCATTGGCTGTTCATGTTTGCGTCAGGATGGATTTTGTGCTCAGAGTTGTGCCCTTGTTTGTCAAATTTTGTCTTTTCTGTTTTGAACTACCTTTAAACATTTTAGACATAAGTTGGGTTAGATTCTTTTAGAGGATTCCGGTCTTATGTTTCTTAACAATAACACATGGTAGGATTTGAAGTCCAGTGTGGAAGATGGTTTATCATATACTATCATTTTGCTTGATCATTACACTCCATCCAGTATACCTGCCATAGCTGATTGAAGATGGGATTTACATTGTGAGTGACATTGAACATAATATGGTTGATTTTAACAGAAATAATTCAGCACCATTTTCCTAGATGCTACAAAGCTGTCTGCATGATTGGACAGAGCTTTGTGTTGAAATTAATGGGAAGGCTAGGACATGATCTTATTACTGCAAAGACAAGATGTTTGTTCTCCCTTGCTTATGGACCTTGTGAGCTGCATCCATTCTTAAAAAGATTCCAAATTCATAGGGGAAAATCCTTCTTTTCATTCTCTGATCTCCTAGAGAAAAGAGATCAAATTGTGATTGCAACTGCACTTTCGCTTTCTGAAGACTTGAAATCATGTTCTCTTGGTGCTCAAATCCATTCTCATGTCATCAAGTTGGGGTTTTCTAATGACATTTTCTCACAGAATAATCTGATTAAGACGTATTTCAAAGTTGGAGCTTTGTCCAATGGCTGTAAGGTGTTTGAGGAAATGGATGAAAAGAATCTGGTGTCATGGACTATAATGATTTCAGGTGCAATTCAAAATAGTGATTTTGAATTAGGTTTAAAAATTTATCTGGAAATGTTACGAGCTGGGATGAAGCCAAATGAGTTTGCTCTTGGCAGTGTGATGAAGGCATGTGCTAGTCTGGGAGGGCACACACTTGTTGTAGCCATTCACTGTTCTGCTTTGAAAATTGGGGTGGAGCAGAATCCATTTGTAAGCACATCAATTCTTAACATGTATGTTGAGTTAAAGGATATTGAATCTGCTGAACTGGTTTTTCATTGTGTGAAAAACCTAGATGCTGGTTGTTGGAATTCTATGATTGGAGGATATATCAAATGTAAACGTGACTTTAAAGCCTTGCAGTTGCTGACATTGATGCCATATGCAGGTTTGAAAATGGACATGTATACCTTTGTAAGTGCTCTTAGGGGATGTTCAAGTATGGGAACTTTGCAATGCGTAAAACAAATTCATGGATTTATTATTCAAAGTAAAGTGGAAAGTATTACTTCCATAATGAATGCTCTTATGGATGTGTATTTTAAAAATGGTGATGAGGACTCTGCTTTGAGGGTTTTTAATCGGATTCAAGAGAAAGACATTATCACATGGAACACTGTATTTTCAGGCTTTTCTCAGGATGGAAATGCAAGAGAGCTTGTTACTTTATATCATAATCTAATGATAATAGGTGGGGAACCTAATAATGTCACTTTTACAGTGTTGCTTAGAAAATGCGGAGAGTTGCATAATCTCAACCTTGGGCTTCAGTTCTATTGTGTTTCCTTACGTGTTGGATTATTTGATGAAGTCAGCATCATAAATTCAGCAATCAGTATGTTCTCTAAATGTGGGAAAATGGATATGGCATACACTGCATTTTGCACTGCATCTTTTATTAACGTAAATACTTGGAATGAATTAATTTCTGGATGTATTATAAATGGTTTTTACGAAGAAGGAATTAAAAACTTAAATAATCTACGAGAATTGGGTTTTGAAGCAGATGAATACACCTACTCAAACACTCTAGAAGCTTGTTGCAGATCTGAAAACCAAGAGATTGGCAGACAACTTCATTGTGACCTCCTCAAATCCGGATTCCATTCTCATAACTATGTTTGCGGTTCATTAATTAAATGTTATAGTTCGTTTGGGCTACTAGATGATGATTGCTACAAGTTTTTCAGTGAACCTGAGAAATTAGATTTAATTTCTTGGGGAACCATGATTTCTTCACTGGCTCACCAAGGCCTTAATCATGAAGCTATCAATTTTTTACAACTGCTTATGAAAGCTGGTGAAAGGCCTGATGATTTTATTTTGGCCAGCATTTTAAATAGTTGTGCTAATATTGCAGCTTATCGACAAGTGAAATGTTTTCATGCTTTAGTTATAAAATTGGGATGTTGTGTGTATCCATTTGTTGCAAGTGCTCTAGTAGATGCCTATGCAAAATGCTCAGACATAGAGGATGCAAGAGTGGCTTTTGACCAGTCTTTCAAATTGCGTGATGTTGTTATATATAACACCATGATCATGGCTTATGCACACCAAGGTCTTGTTGTCAAAGCTATGGATATCTTTGAGATGATGAAATCAGCTAATATACATCCTAGCCAAGCTACATTCATCTCGTTGATATCAGCTTGCAGTCATAATGGTCTTATCAATCTAGGCTGTTCCCTCTTTGAATCAATGGGTTTAGATTATGGCTTGAGACCATCTCCTGAAATTTATGGTTGTTTAGTTGATATGCTCTCAAGAAATGGTTACCTTGAAGATGCTAAATGTGTGATCGAAGCGATGCCATTTCCTACTTGGCCAGCTATTTGGAGAACCTTAATCAGCGGTTGTAGGATATACGAAAATAGAGCATTAGGGGAATGGGCTGCTGGGAGGTTACTTCAGTTATTTCCAGAAAATGAGGCAGGTTATGTACTGCTAGGAAAGGTTTACTCTGAAGGTGGTAGTTGGGAGGATGCTACTAACTTGAGGAGGAAAATGACTGAAGGAGGTATTGCAAAAGTTCTGGGGTATAGTTGGATTGAGACATAAACTGAGTTCAGAGTTTTTGAAGAAGCTAGAGCTGTGTAGGCCTGTGTCATTGCAGACTTGTGAGAAGGTTGTATAATCCTTTCTATTTTTTCAAGGAAATTTGTTAACAGTAGTGTGAGGAATTTTAGAAGTCATACTATATGCTATTGTAATCTTATAGGAAGAGGGGATGGAAAATAAGACTAGTAGGATATTTATAATTTAAAAATTTCTGGTAAAAGTATTTCTAGATTGGGAACAATCAACTGGATAAGTGGTTGCTTAAATCTATATATGATTAACCTGTTAGGTGCTAGTTTCGTTAGGACCATGATTTAGATCACCAATCCTTTGACTTTTTGGATTTTGATATTTTTTTCAATTTTATTCTTGATTTTTAAACCTCTTAGATTGTGCGGGTTGGAATATAAACCATAAATGCTGTTCAACCCGGGGACAGGGAAATTGCATATTTGTCAAACTGACTCAACCACAATGGAAATTGGTAGAGGTTTGTGCTTCTATTATTTTTGAAACTTCAAGATATCTGAAATTTTCAAAATTTATGCCACTGTTTTGGCCTTCCCTAGCTGTCTATTCCTTTGTTATGTATCCTCATCTATTGAAATTTTGAAAATTGCATCAGAGTGAATGCGGAAAAGTGATAATTTGATCAAAGTTACATTTCATTCATTTTTCAGCATTAATGTGGTTTCTTTGTGTAGCACAAATAATCATTAATCAATGATCTGATAAACTTATTTAAATGCCAGGGAACAAAGCGGCTATGGCTTCCTATTGCTGTAATTCTTTTCCAACAATATCTCATTTCATTCCATCAGATTTCTTCAGTCCGTTCAAAGCTCCACAGCTTCTCTACGGGGTAAATCTCAGTTACTGATATTCATTCTTTGGTTAACTTATTGTCCTTTCATGTTATTCAACTTGCTTTACCTTAAAGCTACGGACAATTATTGCACTAAATGTATATCGTCAGTATTTAGTTCTCATGTTTCATAGTTGTCTTTTGACTAGTATTGGTAAATGGAGTTTTGTGTATTTTTTTCAAAGAATACAATAGTAATTCAGCCATTTTTAGTTTTTTTTTTTTTTAAGATGTAGTGTGAAGTTGTTGAACAAGATCTCTTGGTTAGCAATATTCCTAAAAGCTTGGTTAATGATTGAGCACAATGGTGTCTTTCAATACATCTAGCTTACCCCACCTAGTGGAATAAGGTTGGTTGTTGTTGTATATAGTGTGAAGCAATCTTTATGTTTTGCATGACAATGCATGTAAAATTGTTTCATGTCATAGAAATTTAAGTTGTTGGGTAACCCTAAGAAATTAGGATTTAGAAGTGAAAATTTATTTTCATGGGCAGGATTTCTGTTATGGAATTTCTACAATTATTGAAATCAAAAATTGTTGTTATTTTATCATTGAAGGAGAATAAGTTACCAATAAGCATTTGCTTTGAGAACAGTGGTTAATGTTGGTCGCTAGTTGACTAGTGCACATGGAAATTTTTTAATATTGGGAGACCATATTAATCTTTCCTTGAAAATGAAATTACTCCTTGAGGATTTACTGCAATGGTAGTTGACTGAGCAAAGTGGTTTTCTGCATTTGCTCTGGACTACTGTTATATCAATAAAATTATCTTTATGTCATATGTTATGAGAGAATCATCCTTGTGGCAACTTCCTATCTAGCTTGTGCTTATTTATTTCCATTTTACATTACGAACACAGGCAAAAAGAAGGTTTGACATATCTCCAAGATCTTCAAAAGTCACTGCATTTTATGGCTTAAAGACCCCTCCCTATAAACTTGTGAGTGAATAATCACAGTTATTTAAATCTTGTTTGTGCATGTACATGTACGAAGATAGTTATATTGTGCTGGCGCATGCATCAACTGGCACTACAATGAGCATATGCTTTCATTTTACACATGATTTGTTGGCTGAGGCGTTAATAGTTTACCCAAAGTAGAAGTGTCTTTATTTGGTTAGAAAATTATTATTTTAGATAACTATCTCCAACTTTCTCTCCGCTTATTTTTTTCTCCCACTCTTCTATGCATTGTCTCTCTCTCTCTCTCCTTATTTTCCACTGTTTGTTTGCACTCATTCTGAACATCAAAACTTAATCAACCTGCGTAATATTTCTTTTCTTTGACTACCATATTAATAATATGAAATTTGATATGTTTAGGCGAGGTGTTTTCTTGTTTGGGTTATGGTTGTTATTTTGGTTTGAGTTTTGTTCGTGTTCACTTTTTCCCCTGTCTTGTAAGTGATTTTATCATCATCAACATCATCATTATTTTGCTGCCTTTTAGGTGTTTGAATGACGATAAAAACTTAAATGTGACCTGACTTATATTCATCTTCAGGCAACACCTTTCGACAAACAAGCTAGTTCTTCTCCCAATCATGCATTATCTGCTCAATCAACCAATTATTTGCAAATATCAAATTCAACCTTGTACAAACAATTGATCAATCAATTCTGACTTGTTCATTTACTTTGCGGCTTCAATGTTCTTAGGATGCATTAGAGCCATATATGAGTAAAAGAACAATTGATGTACACTGGGGGGAAATTCATCGGAACTTTGTGGAAAGTTTGAATGAGCAATTGGAGAAGGATGACATACTATATGGCTATACCATGGATGAACTTGTCAAAGAAACATACAACAATGGAAATCCCTTGCCAGAATTCAACAATACAGCCGAGGTACTTATATTACATTTAGTATATTGGCTTTGATGAATTTTTTAAGCTGTTTGAGGCTTATCCCCACCTAGTGGGATAAGGCTTGTTATTGTTGTACATAGCTTTATGAGCTTATTGAAATTTGATTCAATGTATTTTAGCCAAATTCTTTTTTAATTGCCGTAGGACTGTATGAGTTTACATTTCTAAAGAAGATATCTCCCTTTTGGTCTTATTTTAAAATTCTCTTTAATTACAAGGCTGTGATTGTTACGTGGACTTGTAAGAGAGAACTTCTCCCTCACATCAACGTAATGAATTTGTTTTCGCTCCATTTTCTGATATATCTGTTAGCATATCTGATACTCATAAAAGGAGAAAATAGGCTAAGAAAGTAAAATATAATTCACTAGATGGGGAATACATATCTGCTGGCCCTATTTATGGAGAATATAATTAAATTTCCAAACTACACTTTTACCCATAATTCCCCCAATTACCTTACGATTCCTCATTCCCGTGTATCAATATCCTATCTTGTTCATCTCATCGACAATAAACAAAAGAAACCTTATTTACTTTCCACAATATCTAGTGAGGAAATTATGACTGAGGCAGCTATTACAATGTCTTATCTAGGATTAGTGTCATTAAGACGTGAAACTTACGTGGGGCCTTCATACGCAGGTTTGGAATCATGACTTCTTTTGGGAATCTATGCAACCAGGAGGGGGTGAGATGCCCAGACTAGGTCTCCTTCAACAGATTGAAAAGGATTTCGGTTCATTTACAAATTGTAGAGAGAAGTTCATTGAAGCTGCCCTCACATTGTTTGGCTCTGGCTGGGTTTGGCTTGTTTGTAAGTCCCCTCCAAATTGACTGCTTCTTCTCAAAAAGAATGTGTGTGTGTAGTACGTTCGGGGAGAAAAGAGAGAGAAGGAGGAAGCCAAACAAAATTTATATTATTGAAATATTATTATTATATCCTTCTTCTTAAAATTTATAATATCTATACTAAACTAATATAGCCACACAGTACTACATATATCCTTTTATTTTGGATGTACGACAAGTAACTATTTCTGAAACCTACTGGACTTTTCCTTATTTCTTTATATCTCTTGACCAGTCTATTTTTTTGAACCACATTTTCCTTAAGACGCTATTTTCTATGTAAGAAAATTAATGTTCAACATGCTTAATGAATATGAAAGTTTAAATTCAGTGTTGTCTAATGCTCTAAATAATATAGGAGTAAATACTTTTTTTTTTTAAATATATCTCAAGCACATAGCACAGACGCCTGAAAACGGAGCCACATACATGTTCGATAGATGTAGAACAGTCTTGCTGGACACAAAATAATTAAATTATATTTAGATATTTCAGATATGTCAGCATGTCCATGTCTGTGCCATGTTCAATGTCCATGTCAGTGTCTATGATTCCCCAAAAGCAGATGTTGAGAATTTCCAAGTCCTGGAAAATTAAGATATTCACCATTCAAATGCCTCCTAAATCATCAGTACCTCTTGAAACTTATAATCCAAAATTAAATTGTGCCAAGAATTATAGCATGTTAAATGCACCTCTATTGTCAAGTATTTTGCTTTATGCTGATGAATTTTTCTAATCTTTATGGCATGGTTGTTTCAGTGAAGAGAGAAGAGAGACGACTCGAAATCCTGAAAACATCTAATGCCATTTGCCCAGTTGTGTGGGATGACATAGTAAGTCAATTTTACTTCCCTCCATCACTTGTTTGAGTTGATATTATTAGTATCAGAGTTGATAATCTTTCTCTCGTGCAGCCCATAATCAATTTGGATTTGTGGGAGGTATACTCCTCTCTCTCTCTCTCTCTCTCTCACTCATTTTGTGATTTGTAGCCATCATGAGCTGACTTTGCTTCCTTCTCTGCAGCATGCATATTATCTGGATTACAAGGTACGTTGCAATATTCATGCCTGGTGGAGGAGCTACACGTGGGCTTGACCAGCCCATGCGCATACTTAACCCTATATGATGAATTCTAGTCCATCTCATTTATGGTCAAGTTGGGCTTGGCCCAAGTCGATCAACAACATTCATCAATTTTTGTTACCTCTTTTAAATTTGCATTACCATTCATCATGTATCTTCATTCTTCATATCCTTTTTGTCATTCCTCGGTTTTCAATTTTCACCTAAGGACAAAAGTTCACTTAGTTTTAAAACTGTAACTAAATTGACTATAAACTTTTATTTTGGTCATTTCTTATATGGAAGAAGTTACTTATTTATGATACATGTTAAATTCACTTGAGCTCTTTTTCTCAAATCTGAACAATACAGTTATGACACTACAGGTTCATATTAAAGGCTATGTGCGATGCTCAGAGGACCCGTATCTAGTTTTATTTTTAATGTATACTTGTGCCTTACTTTCCTTTGAAGATATCTTCCTTACAATGCTTGTGTAACCTGTTGGACAGAATGACAGAGCAAAGTATGTGAATGTCTTCATGGATCACCTTGTCTCTTGGGATGCCGCAATGGGGCGCTTGGCGCGAGCCGAGGCTTTCGTGAACTTGGGAGAGCCTGAAATTCCTGTTGCATGAAATGGTTCAAGTGGTAGTTGATTTGAGCATGTTTGGGAAGCTTTGAGTTTGAAATGAAGGACTTCTTAGGTTTGGATAAGTTAAGGTCATTATTTAAGTAGAAACATGATTGTGGTGTTGCAGAGCCCGCAGAGCCCCCACATGATGCTTCTTTTTGTTTATCCAGTTTTGGTATATTAATGTGGGATTGCAGACAAGTTGGCATCTGGGGAGATTTTGAGCGTATACAGAAGCAGGAGGCAAACAAGTAGTTCAAACCTTTACTAGAGAGAAAAGGAATTAAGTGTAGTATGTTGGATTATATTTAACCTCTAAATTTATGCCACTCTTCTAATTTTTGTTTGTTCTTGTTTAAAAAAATATAATCATTAGTCCTTATAATTTCATCAGATTTTATTTTTAGTCTTTGTAGTTTTTTTCAATATTTTCAATCCCTATAGTTTTATCAAGATTGGGTGGCATTTGTTCTTTAAGTCCCCAATGATGTTAAATTATGGAGATTATAAAAATTAAAAATATTGAAAACCAACTACAAGGATTAAAAGTAAAACTTGATAAC